GAAGGTTTGGAAATGTCCAGGAGAGACAGCAGAAGCGTTTTGGACATGAGATCTGAGAGAACAAATAGACAGCTAAAAAATGGAGGAGATATGAGCTGATACCACTTTCCTAAAGCAAGGGAGGTGTGTAGAACTATGGCAACTAGAAAGGAATAAAGTTGATGATCCATAAAATGAAGTTACTGCAGATGCATTGTTTGCTTTGAGGCTGTTGATTCAGAACTATAGAGGGTGTCAGCAGGGGCTGCGTTTTTGCAGATCTAGAGAAGGCATATGAAAGAATGGCTTTGGAGGAGCCGAGTCACTATTTGAGCAAGTCTGGAGTAGCAGGAAGCATGTTAGAGTTGAGCAAAACATGAATGAGAGATGCATGACAGGTGTACTGTACTGTAGGAGTGGGAAAAGAGTTCAAGGTGGGAGTAGGTTGAATGTTGGATCAACAGCAAAACAATCTCCATGAACTATGATATTAGCATATATATGGTTTAGTGGCAGGAGGAGGTAGGTACAATCAAGGAAGGAGGAGACATGAAGCAGAGGTGGATGTAGCAGAAATAAAGACATTGAGGAGTGAACTGGTGGGTTTGGAGCAGGATTGAATAAATCATAGGGATGCTTTATGTTAGATGTTTTTTTAAGATAAAGCCAGACTGAGATGGTTTGTACAGATACTCCATCAATCAACACATTGCATTCACCCTGAGGCAATGGGCTGACCAGCTACCACCTTTATTCACAGACATCTTTATCATCTCAACGGAGATTTTAAATGTTTCCACCTGCTTAAAGATTGGATGACTTTTCCCAGTATTCCTGATTTTCCTCAATAAGTGCCATAAGTCCTGCAAACACATAAAATAAACTAGAAAACTCATAAATTTGACCAACAAAAAACCTATTACTCACATGCAAAGGAAAAAAATTATGCAATTACATAAATAATGAGCAGCAAAGTCAAAATGCAAACACATAAATGATACCAATAAAAAAAACAAGCGAAGGATCAATGCTAGTAGAAAACACAACCAGAGAAGCTGCAATTTCCATCTTTATAATGAAGGTGATCAAGACTATTGGGAGGGGTGTGTGTTTGATGTCTGCTTATATCCTTTGCAAAGCCATCGACAGGACGTTGTTTAGAGGATTATTGGAGAGAATAAAGAAAATGTATTTTTCTTTTAATTATTTTTAAACCATTTAATCTTCCTTTGCATTCTGTTTATGGCTTTACTAAGGATTTGGTCTCTGGGTCGATGATTGCTCCTCTCTAGTTTTCTAAATCACATCCATTATGCAGAGCTGGTTAGCAGCTATTCTTAGATTGCAGTTGTTTTTGCAACATGTGGTGTTTTTCCTTTATTTTGTTTTGCATCTTCGTCTGTTAGCATTATTTCTTTGTTTTAAGTTTTGTGTTTGGAGCATATATTCTCTATTTTCTTTGATTTACTTACAGCATTCCTCCAATTTGGGTTGCTTTGTATTTTTTTTTTTGGGATGGGGGGGTTTGCACGTTTTATGTATTTTTGTGTTAGTTATATTTTAGTTTGACAGTTACCCCTCCACCAAGCTCCAGCAGCTTCTGGATGTCACCAACCTCACTGGGCTTTCCTCTGAGGGTGATGAATCTGTCTAAAGGTGGGTGATTAACCACTTGTTGAGCAGCTCTACAATAAAAACACCTTGCTTCTGTTCTTACCTACAACTCCTCACTGACAATTTGCATTGCAAAAAATACACATCTCCACACATGCAAATACTATTTAACTATAAATTTAAACTGTTGTCACTTTACATTTGTTAGGGTTCTGTTCCTCTGCAAAAAAAAAAATCTTATCCTTATACTATTATTACACATTATATATTTGCAATATTAAATGTCAGTTATATGTTTGTCTATGTGTAGCTCCATGTAAAATAATAAAACCCATCTTTATTATGTGCCTGGAACTGTGATGCAAGAGGAAACAAAGGTAGCTGGTTTAAGAGAACAAGATGCAAAAGTTAGAGTTAGACCATAAGGACTTATGATTTACAGCCTTTTTTTTTCTTGTTTATTGTGATGATTTCCCGCTCATAGGTAATAAAAGCTTTACGTTGAAGCTTTTTATTGTCCAATGGGCCAAGAAAACACACATTTAAAGATATACATTTTAATACAAAATTATGAGCCCAATCTTAAATATGTTTACTGCCTCCAAAACATTTATTTCCACAAATTACTTTACATTTTGAAAAGATAGCCACCCTTAATAGAATGTTATATGTGCAAACAGTACAGCAGAAATAATAAAGGGCCTTATTGCCCCTCCCACCAAACTTTTATTGCTTTATGTCTTGAGGTGAAAGATAAAAAGTGAAACCATTTGTTCACTGATGTGACCACATGGCTAAAGAGTAGCATGAGTAAGTGAGCCTTTTCTTCTTTTATCATTAGTCAAAAATGACATGAAATCATTTTTGTCCTTAAACTTTCCTCCTGCTTAATTATTGTAGCTTATTCATCGCAGATCATGTTGAGTGTCTGAGTTGTTAGAGGTTAGAATTTGGCTGTTGGGTTCAAAAGGAACAGCTCCAAAAATTAAATGATATAGAAAGAAATCCTTAAGAAGTTATGTACAGCTAAATGGTTTCACCTCTTTTTCTATTGATGCATTCATTTAAATGTCAAAATCCCTGTTTCTCAGTGAGTGGGAACAATTATTTGTGGCAGCTGATGTTTGGAGGTCAGTGGCTAAAAATAGAGAATGATCATGTCATCGAAACTCACTACTGCCAGCCTGGAGCAAAGGGAATCACTATCAACACAAGCATAGGGTTTGTAGTTTCCTACTGCATGGAAAATGAATTTGACTGTTTATTTACAAGAAAGATATAAAATGTACTGAAATGCATCATCTGTCAATCATAGCAAGGTTTTTATAGACTTTGATGAGCTTAAAACTGATAGCGCAGCACTGAAGGTGCGGAGACTGAGCTTCGTTCCTCAAGGACAGGCTGAGGACATCGCCTGGTACTACAGAGATGATGACCTATGGTGTGAATATGGATCACAGGTGAGAAACGGTGTAAAGCTTCCAGGTCTGTACATTTTCCCCAAAGACTTGGCTGCAACTAAGATATTCTGGTTGTTTTTACACTTTGTGTTGTTATCTCAGCAGAAAGTTTTTTTTCATATAAAATGTGTAACAGATCTAAAAATGCCAAAATAGGGGGAGCCAAAATGTGTGCTATAGTGCCCCTTGGGAGCCAAAACGAGGGCTATAGTGCCCCCTTGGGAGCCAAAACGAGTGCTATAGTGCCCCCTTGGGAACCAAAACGAGTGCCATAGTGACCCTTGGGAGCCAAAACGTGTGCTAAAGTGTCCCTTGGGAACCAATATGTGTGCTAAAGTGCCCCTTGGGGGCCAAAAAGTGTGCTAAAGTGCTCCCTTGGGAACCAAAATGTGTGCTAAAGTGCCCCCTTGGGAACCAAAATGTGTGCTTAACTGCCCCTTTGGGGACCAAAATGTGTGCTAAACTGCCCCCTTGGGAACCAAAATGTGTGCTAAAGTGCCCCTTCGGAGACAAAACGTGTGCTAAAGTGCCCCCTTAGAAGCAAGTGCCCCAAAACGTGTGCCATAGCATTCCCTTGGGAACCAAAACGTGTGCAATAGTGCCCCTTTGGAGACAAAACGTGTGCTAAAGTGCCCCCTTAGAAGCAAGTGCCCCAAAACGTGTGCCATAGCGTTCCCTTGGGAACCAAAACGTGTGCAATAGTGCCCCTTTGGAGACAAAACGTGTGCTAAAGTGCCCCCTTAAAAGCAAGTGCCCCAAAACGTGTGCCATAGCGCTCCCTTGGGAACCAAAACGTGTGCAATAGTGCCCCTTGGGAGCCAAAATGTTGGCTATAGTGCCCCCTTGGAAGCAAGTGCCCCAAAATGTGTGCCATGGCGCTCCCATGGGAACCAAAATGTGTGCAACAGTGCCCCCTTGGGAGCCAAAAAGTGTGCTAAAATGCCTCCTTGACAGCCTTGGGAGCGAAGAGCACTTTAAAGAGGGGACACAATATATGACACAATATATGTGTCCACAATTTTTTTTTCTTTCCACCCTTGCCCTTCAAAAAGTTTATGCAAGGTAATGGGACAGTCCCATGAAACGTTTTAAGAGTTCTGGTTTGGTATGGAAAAATATCCCAGAATTGAAAACATTTTGCTTTAATAATATCCCTACTTGCACAATAATACTGAAGCAAACAACTGCATAAAATCCATAGGCTACAACAGTTTAGATTCCGGTTATATGCTGATTTCTTTTAATCCACAGCTCTGTTTACTTTTTTACAAAAGAGAGGGACCATATCAATCCTGCTACTACTTGAAGTGTGTTGAAGTGGAGTTAACCTTTCAAAACAAAAACAAAAACTCCAGGTGACTCTTGCCTTAAATAAGAATAGACGCATGGACAAACCTCTCATGCCTAGGTAAAGCTGAGGCTCCATGGTGCCATGGGCCGGAATGTGATCCAACAGCTAAAAGAATCTTACTCAAGTGTATCACAAAATATTTGAATTGACTAGACATTATAATTCAAATATTATGAACTCTAAGAGGGGAAAAAATTGGAAAATTGATCATTGTGATATTTTTTCAGTAATTTAATAATAGCAGAATTATGTAATAGAAGATTTGCTATAATACTTTTGACATTTTTTTATTTCTTTATTTTACAAAGGCAAAAGCGACTGTAGTTGAGCGTCCAACATTATCTACTGATATGGGATATGTTTTCATGGTTAATAAATGTTTTAAGATTAAAGCTTGTTTTTTTTTTTTTTTTATTGTGTTTATAGTAGATTATTTTTACTCCTCCTTCCCCTCCTAAACTGAATATTTTCTTCCTTTTCAATCTTCAGAGCTCAAACATGTCATCGACATCCATTGACAGCAAAGACATTGAGATGCATTTCACTCAGAACCCCCGGGGAACCATTCAATTCACCATTGGCCTCACTATTTATTCACTGGATTTTTACAGTATGTGCTGTTAATGAATTTCTGGGAGCTATTTCCTTACAATTAAGTCAACATTTTGCATATTTGCACTGTAACTAAAGGTGCTTGTATTTACAGCTATGACCCAAATCAACCTTGCCACTGGTTCATGCAGAGACGTGCGCAGGCGACCAAAATTCACCTTGAACGATGTTGGGTGAGAAATGTCGTTCCAAGGCCTAATTTTTAATAACGGCGTATGATTTCAAAGGATTTTATTTTCAAGCTAAGCGAGGCAAGTTTTTCCTCTTTTAAATGTTGTGACTGAGTCCAAATGTTATGGTTTCAGAGCCGTCCAGTTAGGCTCTGCTCTCCAGATGCTTTCCTTGGGCTCCCAACCACAGTGGCAGTTTGAAGGGCACAGTGGGGCTTGGTATAAGTTTAAACACAGGGTCAGCAGAGTTCATGTTATGTGGCCACATTTGATCTCAGACATTTGTCTTTTCTGGTTGATTGCAACATGTATGTTTTTTTTTTCTCAACAGTATGGCACTTTGACCGAGTGCTCCCTGAACAGTAATGAGATTGAGAGGAAGTACCAGCAAAACCCCACAGACTGCATCACATTCACAGTAAATGGATACCCCTACAAGCTGGACTTTGCATGTGAGGTTTTCATATTATTTTTTGATTAAATTATTACAATTTGAGAGTTAAAATAATGAGAGGAACATTTCAAAATGCTCAATAAAAAAAAGCTCAATTTAATCAAAATTTTTCATCTTCTTTTTTTCTTTTCAGCCATGATTCAAAAAAACCAAACCACTAATCATACACGTAGGATCAGACGAGTGCTGGTTTGAGCATTAAAGCTGGAGCCACAGAACTGTTTGAGACTGAGTTAGTGCCTTCATTTTGGAAGTGTGAGGGTGTTTATGCATTACATCATGCAGCATTTACGGCTCTATTATATGACTCCAAAGAGAAAATGTAATTGTCTGTTTAATAAAATTAAATCTCATTAAGGTTAATAAGTAGATACAGGAAATCAGCCTGAGAATAATGCACTATGCTTTGGATCTTAGCATGTTAGTTTTCTGTACGGTAAGGAAATCGTCTGCAAATACATTTTTTGTTGGTGTGTTAAAGAAAAAAGAAAGAGCTAGTGGTATAATAGGAAATAGGATGTGATTTTATTATGTGCCTGCTGATTCTGCTGATGCACTAAACAGATTTGTGTATATAAATGCTGATTTAAAAATAAAATACACATTTGTTGCTCATTTTAGGTGTCGATCTGTTTCCTTTTTACATATCTTCCCATTGTGCTGCTATTATTTTCCTGTCTTACTTTTTCTGTTGAGGTAAAATGTTCAACCTGGTGCTGATCTGATTAAAGTCTGTGGTAGGAATCCTTTTCCAGCTTTAAACGGGAACTGAAGAAGAGGTGAAAATACACAACATATCAAATTTGTGTTATTCTTCATTAATTATAAGTATGAGGCACTTTATTTGCTGTAAATCCTGTGTATAGCTAGGCAAAGACAACTTCTGTACCTGTTAAGGTTTGTGTGATGTTCAGTTGTTCCGAATTAAAGATAAGAAATCAAAAATCCCTCCGTAGATGAGTTTTTTTGTTGGTGTTATATTTCACTTGGCCATATTTGGGAGTTCTTATTAAGAAATATACACTGCCTGGCCAACAAAAAAGTCGCCACCTGGATTCAACTAAGCAA